CGAGAACACTTTGCACATATGTTACAATGAAAAACTCATAAAGAGTGGTTTAGAATACAGTTTTTAAAAAAAAAAAATATTGCAAGGCTATGGTTTTTTTTTATACTGAAATATAGTGGATACTATTAACATTTGAAGCCTGGTAAATAAAAGCAGCTAATTCAATTCATCATATTTATTTACTTACTTTCAAAACGTAAATTTAATCAAGTAGGAATTTAAATACTCATAAAATAATGGATAAATGTTAAGCAAGGGGAAGCAAAACTGGAAGTAATCAACTCGAAATGGACATTTTTTGCATCGATCATGCATATAAAAAACAGAATCTTGATGAGTTTGAAAACACGAACGCAAGTTTGTTTTTATGAGGCAGTTAATTTTTTAGAACATCGTTATTGAAAAAGTTCAAACAAAGTTCATTGAAGCAAAAAAAGTAAGCTAAAAACGATCAGTTTATTGCTTCCCGTAAAATTTTATCTTTATGGCATCAACCTTTAAGAGAAAAGATAGTCCCACGTGTGCCTGAAATAAAAATGGGTATACTCCATCCAGTTTTAAAGTTATTCCCTTTAAATTATAAATTTTTTTTCAAAAATTGAAACTGTTTTATCAATTGTAAATTATACAAAATGTTTGCAAATAAAATGATGCATTAAAAAAGAAGTAGGATGGCTTTCCTTTGAACCAGTTATTTTAAACAGAACTGGATTTCAAATCGTAGGAGGCCATAAAAACCAAGCTCACGAAGAACTAGGTGTGATTTTTCTTTTTATAGCTTTTATTTTGATTATTCAGTGACAACCGGTTTTTTTGTTATTCCTTCACCCTATTTTCATTTTTTTGCAGGCATCGTCTGGCGGTTGGGGTGTTAAATTGTGGAGATTTCATAAATTTCAGTTAGTTACAGATTTCAATCTCTATTATGTATAGATTTTGCTTCTTTAACTTACATAATACTTTTTAAATATAGTTCAGTCGAAACACAGAAGTTTGAAATTTTTTTTCTTTGATTTTAAATCATTTCAGTAAATCTTTAGAAATCATACACTGTTTTAAGTTAATTTTTATAAATAATGTTTTAACTAATTATAGAAACACTGGAGAACAAATTGTTTGCTGCATTTATACAAATACTTGATCTTACCTAATTCGAATATGGGGATTTTAAAACTAAAATTAGTTTTTCTTCTAAGGCTGCAGATTTTTTTAAATGACATTTTCAGTCTATTTTTTGTTGAAATATTCAATTTTGAAAAAGTTATTTACAAGGGAGGTCGCATAAATGCTCCACTTCTCTATTATGCACACGAAATAGTTACTTTAAACTGTTTCTTTCATAACAGTTTTAAAAGAAACAGTTAACAGTTATTTCGGTTATTAACAGTAACGTTCCTGATAAGTTCTTTTCTCTGAATATAATTAATAATGTTGATAAAAACAGTTAATAACAATTATACTCTACTAGAGAACGTCCCTTGCCGCGTATGGCAAAACTTCCAAGCATGGTTTCCTACGCAGTTTTAATTCTGATTATGTAGAAAAATTGTTTCCCAGTATTTTAATCTAAAACTAACTATAACATGATTTTAACATATATGCTCTAAAAACACGATTTTACTATAACTTATCTATGCAATAACATGAACGTTTCCTTTGGTTTGTGAGGCGTGCTGACTAAAATTGTTAACCAAATTATTTAATAAGTGAAATTACTTACTACTATGTTATTTTTTTTTCTAAAATTAATTTCCCCTTTTTATGCAAATTCAATTCAGTCTTGCTTACAATCTCTTTAGTATTGTATTACTTAGCTGGAATTAATTCTTCCCTTTCAATGTAGGTTTAATTCAGTCTCCTTTCTGATCTCTTATTAAATAATTCAAATTTAACGTAACGTAAAAATGCAATATGTAATAAGTCGATGATCGCAAAATGTAACATGAATAAATGTATATTAGATTTCAATAATAATTGAAGAGACTAATGTTAAAAAAAATCTTATGGATTCTTTTCGCTAAATGAGCAATGCTTCATGAATGTAGCAATTGTTAAACATGAATGGAACAATATTGGATCGTATTTTAAATTCAAATATTAACATTAAAAATATTAAATTCTTGCATAAATATTAAAAATTATCATCAGTTAAAAATAATACTTCAAGTCTACTTGCAATTTTTAAAGCATGACCATGTTTTTTTTAATTTTTTTAATTTTTTTTTTTTTTACCGAAACATATGATCAGGTACTCCTATAATTTTTTTCTATTACACTGAAACTAAATTCGTAAAGATTATTGTAAAACCCTGTATAGCATAAATTGTGCTTACATAGTATCTAAAAATTTGTGATGCAGAAACATTGTAATTAGTTTGAAATATTATATGCCGGCGCCCCTATACTGACCTATTGATCTAACTATCAGTTAGACGAGTATAGATCTGTCTTCATTTTGATATAATCCGACTTTTTGATATAATCTATAAAACTAGTGTTTTATTTGGATTTGAAAATGTAACTTTGGATTAGATAATGAAACCTGTTATTATTATGTACTAGTTATATATAAAACCATTCCTACTTCTTATAAAACCTGGACATTCGTGTATTAACTTTGTATCGTTGTTAAAACTGCTTGTTAAATATTTTGCGCCATGGAACAATACAATATTTATATCACGCAAATAAATATATAATTTTTAAAGCCGATATGGACGCTTTGATCTAAATTTTTGCAACATTCTTCAACTTATTTAAATTTCTTATAAGATAGATTCCTATACTGTTGCAAATGGAAAACAAAGTATCCAATATATGTTGCCAACAAAAATTATTAATTATTATTAATTACCATTAAATTACTATTATTATTTGCCATTAAATTATTATTATTATTTAAAATTAAATTATTATTATTAATTACCAAGTTATTAAGCATCACAAAACCATTAAAAACTGCTTATTTATTTCCAACAAATTGCATCACTGCACAGAGAAAGGAAGTTGGTTAAAACTAACAGAATATGGTGAAATATACAGTGTTCCGGTCACTATGAAGGTACCAAAATAAACGATAATTTTCAGAGAAGCCTTTTAATATAGATTTTCGTTGAATTAACAATAATGAATAGCTTTTTAATACGTGATAAACTTTGGAAAATGTTGTGAAAATTTGTTGTTTTATCATGATACCTTTAGAGCATGGCATAAAGTCATTTATTCTGTTAAATTTACTTTCCAGTTTTGTATTTTTTACTTAATATGCGGCAATAAGAAAAGTAGTTTTGAAGATTAAAATTACCCGTAAACCATTACCATATAAACGGTAGAATTGTCAAATGACTGGTTTAAAAATCGTATATTTTAGAGTTACTGTTTAAAATTATGTTTTTATTTATTTCTTTTATTAATTTACTTTTTTTTAAAAACCAGAAATGGTATTATCTATACGGTAATGTGTTTTTACTAAAAAAATTTCTCCACGTGGAAATAAATGACATAAGTTGATACATTTGACCTTCTAGCATCCACGTGTATGAGAAAGGTGCAGTGGGAATTCATTTTATTTAATGATTTTAAGCCTGATATCACTGAGAAAAACGATTATTTCCTCCCTTTCCCTTTGGTCTACTTGGCCATCACTGTTGTTGTGATTGTTTCTTCCTTACAAGCGAAAAAAAAAAACGTTTTAATTAATTGTATCTGTTAACCTTAAGCTACTTATACTATTATTAACTTAAAGTAATCATTATAAAATTAGCTTTAGATAATCATATCATCTTAATATAATATGATAATAAATTAATAGGATAATATTATAGTCCTATTATCCTTTATTAAAAATAACTTATAATTTAACATATTATCGCAATATAATTGGCATTTACAAGCTAAAAATGTACACTTTGCATTGGTGAAAAAAAAGTACCTTCTACACTGGTAGAAATTTCTCGGAAAAATGGTTAAATAGAAATTTACTTAATTGTTATTTTGCCATATCGAAACAAATCAGTGAAATAGTCGTAAATTCGATAGTATTCAATCTGTTAACTGTGAGAAAAACCGCTCAATAACTGATTTCTCCGAATACGACTAAAAAATAACTTTATCGCACTGACTAGACCGACCTGAAATGAAGTCACTTAGAACCATGAAGATGGTTGCATATTATAGCCGAGAGGGGTAATCTGTCGATCTCATGACTGGCAGAAAGGGGTTCGAATCCCAGCGTTGACACCACGATATTTCCTTCATTCCTTTCAATACATGAAGAGTTTCCAGTGTCCTGTACTCCTCAATTTGTGACCCTGGGATGTTTGAATACGATTCTCTCCTTCACGCATATATGGCAGCACTGCAAGGCTGCTGAACTATCCAGTTGAATTTCCTTTTTTAAGGTTTGGAAACCATGCTAGTTGTAAATGGTTAAAAGTCCGCATAGTTTTCCATTCACGATTTTTTTTACCGTACTAGTTGTATACGGTTTCAAAACCGGAAAAGGAAGAAAAATATTCTTTTCTGGTTAATCGGATGAGCAAACTGCCGACAGTATTATAATTTTAGAATGAAAATGTTTGCAGTGTAACTTTTGTTAACTAATACTTAAGGTTTAGAAATGTATAGGCTATGCATAAGTTTCCCATTCATTTTTGTTTCAATCATTTGTTTTTCATGAGATTTCTGACGCAAAATGCGAGTTAAAATATGATTGTTAAAAACTAGAAATTAGAAACTGGATTATTTCCTAAGTAGTTTTAAAAACTGGTTACACTACTCTAGAAAAACTTAATAATATTTATACATTTTTGCTTAATATCTCCTTCTATTATCTTTTGACTTTACTTCAAACATAGTTTCTAGTGCCATTTTGTTACCTTGCATGTATTTTCCTCAAATTATTGCATGAGTTGATATTTGTGATATTTAAGTTACATTAATTTAACCACAAATCTTTGTGGTTTTTGTAAGAAACATTACTTAAATTTTCTGTACTTTACCTAAAACTTCATCTATTGTTGAAATCTTTCAGCAGCTAGAAATCAGTCCACCATGAACATCTGAAAAAAAAGAAGATTATAGCTAAAAAATTTCTAAAACACGTTTGCTAGCGACAAAATTAAATAAAACAGGGTGGTCTATTTCACCACATAACATAGGCTAACTTATACTACTAACGCAAACCAACCAACTTTAATTCTGGTTGAAAAGTTTACGTCAGCTCAATGTTTCATATTCTACAGTTCAAAATTTTTGGACAAATGATTTTGTTCTATTGGAACCAGAAAAATTAAGAATAGTTTAAAATGATTATTTTTAAGCAATAGTTCTTTTTATGATTTATGAGTAACTTATTTTATTATTTAATTCTGATACCAATTAAATGAATATGTCTGATTAAGAATTATTTATTTCAATACTAATATTTGATTTGATTTTTTTTTATTCTGACAAAGTAAAGCTTATCGTATCTTTTGAAACGTGCATTTGTTTCTCATTTTCAATTTTTTTTAAAAAGAATTAATATTGCAAATACTTTTTATTTCATTGTAGAGCCATCGTACAACCAACCCAAATCTCAGTTTATGACTATCAATGTTCAACTCTGTAGACTTGAAATTATGAACCGTAATTCAGAAGACAAGGGAAATTCTAGATCAAATATTAGGAAAAATTTAACTTCGTGGTGGACTTTCTGATGAAACTAACTCGCATTTGCGTTACAAGGAGAGAGAAAACACGAAAATCTCCCACGGCGCTTAGCCTGACAGAACTCAAACCCATGATTCACGGAGGATATTTTCTCGTCAGCACTGTGTCGGAGCGTGCCGGGTGTGGAATTCGTATCTACCAATTGTCATTGCGATTCGAACGGGGTTCACCTCATAGAGAGGCGAGCGTTCTATCACCAGTGCCGCCACGTCTCTAATTATTAATACTTGGAGTTAAAAAGAAAAAACAAACAGAAATAGGTACTAGAAACCGGAAGGGAAGTTTAACAAACTAATTAATGAAACTTCGCATAAAAGTTTTACAATATGAATTTGCCATTAAGGAATTCTGGAAAAAAAACTCATCTATTAAGCAAGAGTGTCAAATATTAAATACATTGAAAGTTTGCAAATTTTAAACCCACTGAAATATTTTGATTTGCTCGTGAGTGTTTTCTTGTTATAAATAAGCGTCTGGTAATTTTAGTTTTGCTATGTAAAGCGAAATTTCATTTTCGAAAACTTCATTACATATATGCTTCCATCTAGATCTTTTCTTTTACAGCTTTATATCATTTACTGAAACTGGTTTCGACAGAAATTTAATTTAAAATAAAAAAATATTGGAAAGTATTTCTTTGAAATATATTCAAATTTTCTAAAATAAATGCCATAGTCTGTTTCTGGGCAGAACATCTTATCAACACAAAATTGTTTTATAAGAAAAAATTCATACGGGTGCTATAAAGCTAAGCATGAAAAATGAGAAATAAAGCCTTTGTTAGCTCCTCTCACAATTTTTCATCATAAAATGTAAATAATATGCCTAGATTGATTAGATTAGGTGTTTGAAGCAAGACAGAAAAACAATATATATTTTGCCTAGTTGCACAAAGAATATTGGAATTTAGATTCTTTTTTCATTCTCTCAAAGCATATATATTTTCAGAAAAAGTTATTGGGATATATTACACAAAATTTATTAGCCTTAAATTTTCACATCTGATAGACAGCACGCTTTCTCAAAATTTCAAATGATTTTATTTTGAAGCAAGTTTTCTTTTACAGAGATTGATGAAAGTGTATTGAAATTTAATGAATATTTTAATAAATTTTAAGCATTGGGATATTTTTGGTGATGCAAAGAGTAATTCATTTCGATTTATAAATAGCATAATATTCTTTTTGCTTTATTCATTTTAATAAATGAGAAGCAGCCATCTAAAAGAATGAACAAGTGTTCATGATTAATCAAAATACGTATACAAATGGAAAAGCCATAAACAATGATAGACAAAATAAGAGATAAACAAAAATGGAAAAAATGCAAGCATTCAAAAAATATCTTAAAAAGTAAAACTAAATTAATTGTCTTTCTGAACTATAATTAAACTAAAGCATTAAGCGTGACTATAAAATTTACATTTTATTAGTGAATTCTGAAACAGACCATTTTTAGTACTTTTAGTACACTTTGAAATCTCTAAACAGTTGTAAGACTGCAGCAGACAAGGAAACAGTTAAATTTTTATTTTTTGTGACATGTTTATATTAAATAAGTATGAAATAACGAGTAACATAAAGCGGTAACATACTACGTTATTAAAAACTTCACTCCCTTCAAAAAAATACAAAATGGAAATAGCAGTCGACATGTTTAAAGCGTTCAAAAATATGCGCCCATTTTCAAGACTTGCCAGAGGTGAATGAGAAGAAATAGAAGTGATTTCAAACAGAAAACGTAAATGTGCTATTTTTTTCTCTCTCGGCTGCTCCTGTATTTTCTAGTTTTGTTTTTAACCTTTATTTTTCATTTTTCTTGGCAACTTCACATTTTCTATTTCAAATCACTTCTTTTTCTTCTCATTCATGCTTGCAAGACTTGAAAATTGGTGCCTAGTTTCATGAGCTTGAAACATGGCGACTCTTTGTCCCTTTTGTATGGAAGTCTTTAATCAAATTATAACATGTTTATATTCCGGTCAAGAATTAATGTAATTTAACATTATAACTTACGCAGCTTTAAAAGAAAGGAAATTTTTCCTGGATTTGCTTTAGTTTTCTTAATATTCGAGTTATACACAATAATTAAAACAGAGCTGGTATGAAGGATAAATAAAATAAATAAATAAATAAAGGCGAGAAATGTTTGTTTAGATTGACATGTCATTTGAATTCAAAATAATGAAGTTCATAATCTTCATCAATCATAATCCACATATCTCACGTGCTTGTTATTATCAAGTGAGCTTTACTTTACTACATTTAATAATTTTTGATAGAAATGTATGACCAATAAAAACAAATAAGAAAAATATTCTATTTTCTATAAATTATATTCATTCAAAATTTTAAAAGTTTGTTAATAATTGTACTAAAAAAATTAAGGTATTTATTTTTGCGCCCGTTTCTTCTTAGTAAATATTCTAATGTTCTTTTTAAAAGGAATGTTTCATTTTTTTTAAAAAAAATAGCAGCTACTTATTGGCAAAACTTATTTTTTTATTGTTTGAAGTTTCTATAATTTGATTAGAATTCACGCATTGAGAAAAAAGTATGGCCAAAACTAACAGTACTTTGTAAAGTTTCTCATGTTTCTGGCTTAATGGGAACACCAAAAACTCAAAAAACTCCAACGAGGAGCTTTGATTGAAATTGATTGAATTTAGTAAAATTAACAATAAAATATGGTTTTGCAATGTGTGATAAAATTTGGCATATTTCTTAAAATTTGGTAATTTTTTCATGATATCTTAGAACAAGCTATTTATTCGGTTAAATTTACTTTTCAGTTTTATATTTTTTACTAAATATGGTGTAATGAATACCATAATTTTGGAAACCATAATTTCCAGTAAATCGTTACCATATGAAGTAAAAAAATTACCAAATGAATTGTTTAAATGCAGTATATTTTGATTTTATTACCAGAATATTTATTTACTATAAATGTCAGTAATTCTGCTACAATATTTTTTCCGTGCAAATTTTTGCACTATGTCTATTTAATTTTGTTTCGTGGTCTTTCTTGGATGAAACAAAAATATTCATTTTTGTATAAAAAATTACGAAAATAATTTTAAAAATATTATCTGTATTTACAGTTGTAGAAAATAACGGAAATGAAGACAATTTGTTATTGCTTGTAAATACCATATTACATAAAACTTAATTTGTCTAATTCTTTATGGTTCACCAATTAAATATTAACGTCACTTTTGAAGGGGAAGTCGAATATAGTATTGATTAAAAGGCTAGGTTTTTACATTCCCAGAGAAACTGATACAACTTTGAACAATAATATAGTTAAACGCTGGAACTTGAAAAGAACTAGTCTAGTGCGAATTTCCTGTTAATTTAATAAAGTGTTAAATTAATCGCGCTTCGATCCAAATTTAAACAATATCATATAAATCAATTGTACAGATCAATTTGGTATCATGTTATCCTTGTAGCTTAACTGAACGATATAATGGTTGAATACGCTACCGAACATTTATCAGTATAAAAATTCATTTCATGAAATGTATAAAATTTCTCATGTTTTTAGGGGATAATAAAGAGGTTTAGCAAGTAAAAATTGCTTTTAAGGAGATAAATTTAAATAATAATTTAAATGAAGCATCAAAAATTTAAGAACTAAATATTAACTAATATTTTTAAGAATTTTTGCTTTAAATTTATTTAAAAATACACTTAAGGAAAATGCGTCCTTTAAATAAAAACATTTTTAATTAATTATTTTTATTTTTTCAATGTAAGTAATGAAAAGGAGAGCTAGTGTTTTTTTATAGATTTGCCAAAAAAACATGAGAATTATTAATTTGAACTTATCTATAATTTTTTATTAAAATTTAAACTGATATCTTCATTTTGAATGAAACATAAGTGAACATGAAAATGTGCTTTATTAGTAATCCTTTTTTTGTTAATTTTTTTTTTACGTGTTAGAGCTCATTGAAAAAGGGCTATTGTAGACGTGTCATAACATAAGATTAGTAAAGACCAGTCAAAAATTTTATTATTTAATCTGCTTTTTCTTATAAAAAAGTAAATAAAAAAAGTAGGATTCAATTTTATTTTATAAATTTTGTCTTTAGTAAGAGAATCATAATTTTTTCTTAAATTTAATTTTAAGACTCTGTAAATACCTACATGTCAACATCTAGTGATTTTTACAGTGATATTTCTTGAATATTGAAAGTGGTAGTAAATATTGTGATTTACCATTTGATTTTCGATTTTGTATTCCTAATTTTGAACAACTTTAATCACTATGACTCTTAAATAATTTAAATAAATATAAAGGACACGATAATTATGCTAAGTGATTTCAAAACAAAGCATTC